TACTGGGAGTTTTGAGTTCATTTTTGGCAGAATGAGGCTTACCATAAAATGCTGCTGGAAATATTAAAAAATAAAACGGGGGCGGGGATGTGGCTAGGCTGTGGAGCGCTCGCCTAGCACGGGCAGGACCCGAGTTCGATCCTCAGCACCACATAAAAAAACGGAAGTCTCTCGGCAGATGCTATTCAGTAAATGACAACTACTCCTTGTTATATTTTGCGTCGCTTGAAGTACATCGATCGGGCACGTGAGGGGAGTGTTCAAGCCCTCTGGGAAGATAAGTCGCAGCCGGAAAGTGCGATAGAGAAATAGGTAACAAAAAGATCAGTGTGGATTGGAAGGAGGATTGAGGGATGAAACAGTTAACATGAGATGTGCAGAATAACATCTGACCACTCACCCAGCAGAGTTCCGATAACACGCGCAGCGCCGTCGTTGCGTCGCTCGTAGCTGTCCACGATGGAGGCCAGAATGACCGGGTGCAGCCTGACCACGCGGCCTCCGGGGAAGGGCCCTGGGAGAGCAGGACCCGGCAGGGAGGGCGTGGGGGTTTGCGCTGGGGCTTGCGCCGAGGACGCGGTCTGGCCTGGTGCCGCGGGAGTAGCCGCGGCGTCGGAAGGTGAAGCTGGAGCCGCAGTCGGCGCTGCAGCCGCAGCTGGCGCTGGAGCAGGCGTTGGCGAGGGAGTTGGGGCTGAGGCTGGGGCTGGAGCGACGGTCGGAGCTGGGGTTGGGGCCGGAGTGGCGGGAGGAGTACTTGCCGGTACCGCCGGTGTGGCCATCTTGTTGAGAGAGGAAACCTGGAGCGGAAGGGAGTGAGTTTGCGAGTATTAGAAACTCCATAGGCTGAGTATGTACCACGTGAACGAGGCGTCGGTGCCCATTGGTTACCAATGACACTTCTTGGGGCGCGACAATTTCCGGCTGTTTGTAATGTCTTCCGGAGTTTGTGCTTCTTGTTTTAGGTCCGATGCACACTCAGTGAAAGCCAAGTCAAATTGTTCCTAATAAACTTGGGACCGTGTTAGGAAACAACGAAACATATTCTGCATAGCTGCCGCCAGATGGAGCCAGAGAGTAGCGCAAAGGTAGCAATTCCTGGTTTAGTTTTAAATGGGATCAAAGTGTCTCTAAAAAAATATTTGATTCTTTTTAGTTACATATAATATTAGTGTACATTTTGACATAGTCATAAAAGCATGGAATATAATTTGGTCTAATTCAGTCCCTAGAACTTCCCCCTTCCCCTCCTCCTCCTCCCTATTTTTTTTTTTTTTTTTTTAGAGAGAGAGAGAGAGAGAGAGAGAGCTTTTTTAGTTTTCGGCAGACACAACATCTTTGTATGTGGTGCTGCGGATCGAACCCGGGCTGCATGCATGCCAGGCGAGTGCGCTACCACTTGAGCTACAACCCCAGCCCCCCTCCTCCCTCCTCTTGCTCTTCTCCCTTTACTGATCTTTCTGCAATTTATTTATAGTTTTAAAAAATTATTGTCTTGTGAATATACTTGATGTTGGGTGATATATTCATGTATGTACATATGAAAGTTCAGTCAGATTCATTCCACTGTTCTTTCCTTTTCTCTTCCCTGCTCCCTCTCCCTCAATCCTCTTCATCTACTCTTTTGATCTTCCCTCTATATTTATGAAATTCACCCCCCATCCCCCGCTTATTTTGGATTAGCTTCTGCATATCAGAGAAAATATTCGACCTTTGACATTTTTGGACAGGCTTATTTCACTTAGTATGATAGTCTCCAGTTCCATCCATTTATTGGCAAATACCATAATTTCATTCTGCTTTATAGTTGACTAATACTCTTCTGTGTTTATATACCACATTTTCTTTATCCATTCATCTTGATGGGCATCTATGTTGGTTCCATGGCTTGGCTATTGTGAATTGTGGTGCTATACACATCAGTGTATCAATGCATCACTGTAGTATGCTGATTTTAAATCCTTTGGCTATATACTGAGGGTCAAATGATGGTTCCATTCCTAATTTTTTGAGGAATCTCCATATTACTTTCCAGAGTGGTTGAATTAATTTGCACTCCCACCAAAAATGTATGAGTGTACCTTTTCCTCTATATACTTGCCAACATTTGTTGTTGCTTGTATCCTTGGTAATTGCCGTTCTGATTGGAGTGAGATGGAATCTCAATGTAGTTTTGCTTTGCATTTCCTTAATTGTTCAACATTTTTTCATATATTTGTTGATCATCGGTATTTCTTCTTTTGAGAAGTGTCCTTTTAGTTCTGTTGCCCATTTATTAATTGGATTCTTTTTTTTTTTCAGTTCTTTGAATATTCTGGATACTAATGCCCTGAGGAGCAGGTGGCAAGGATCTTCTTCCATTCTGTAGGCTCTCTCTTCAGGCTCTTAATTGTTTCCTTTGTTATACAGGACATTTTAAATTTGATGCCATCCCACTTATTGATTTCTGATTTTATTTCTTGTGCTTTAGGAGTCTTGTTAAGGAAGTCGGTTTCTGTGCTGACATGCTGGAGTGCTAATCGGGCTTTGTTCTTGACAGTGTCATAAGGTGTATATAGGGTGGTTTAGTCAACAGTTTGAGTGCTTAATATGTGCCACATGCTCTTTTAGGTGCTTAGAATATATAAGTGAACAAAACAGGCAAAAGTTTACATTCTAGTGGTGATAAAAAAAAACAATGAGTAAATTATATATTATATTAAAAGGTGCTACCATATACGGTAATTACTAAGGGGTTTCAGCAAAGGGTAAGGGGAATCAGGAGTTCTGAGGGGTCAGGATGGGTTACAATGAGAATGTGAAATTGAGTGGAGACTTGGGGGTTCAAGTAGGTAGTCATCACTTGGGGCTTTTGTGGGGGAGGAGCCCTTCAAGTAGAGGAAACACCTAGTGTAAAGGCCTTAAGGTAGGAGCAGGCCTTGTGTGTTTGAGGAGGTTATTCTGTGTCTAGAGTATTAAGAGGAAAAGAGAGAGTAGCAGGATGAACCCCTTATCAGGAGGTTGGCAGCACATCATTAAGAACCTTCTGAGTTACAGGAATTAGCCTTTGTGATTGTAGAAGCTGAGAACTCCCCAGAGCTACAGTCAGCAAGAGGAGAGACTGAGGAGAGCTGCAGGTACTAGTTCCAGTCAGAAAGCCATCAGGCTTAAGATCTAAGAAGAGCCAACGTTTCAGCTTGAGTCAGAAAGCCTACGACCCATCTCAAATCAGTGAATCAGGGGAGTCCCTCTTGAGGGCAGGAAAGTGGGCCCATTTGTTCTGTTCAGGCACTCAACAGATTGGGTAAGGCTCATTCACATTAGGGAGGGATATCTTCTTTACTCAGTCTACATATTCAAATATCAGTGTCATCCCAAAACACAACCTCACAGGCACTCCCAGAATAATGTTTGACCAAATGTCTGGCCACCTCATGGCCTTGTTGATACCTAAAATTAACCATTGCACATAAGTTTCTGGTTGTTCCGGGAAACATGCTTGATAGTTTTGCCTGAAAAGATCAGGGTCATCTCTGCTGATGGTGTCATAATTAAGAGCAACCTACAGGACCCATCCCATATCAATAACTGAAAGAGACAGCCATACACACCAGCTAGCTTCCCCCACCCCCGCTCCCTTTCTCTCTAACTTTGCCTGACTTGATTTCTGTGTTTTGGTCTCTGATTCTTTTGTTTCTACCCCTTCTATTTTGGGACTCAGTTACTCTAGTTTCCAGGTTTACTTTCAGCCAGGACAGGGTTAGCAGAAAGAGAGGGCTGATTTTATCTCTTGCCTCCGCCATCCAATTAAAATCAGTTCTTGCGAAGCTCATTTGTAGTTTCTTAGGTGTGACTCAGAATCTCTGCTCCAGTGATCTCAAAACCTGGAGCCTTTGCAGTAAGTGGCTTCTCTGCTCTCTATCCCCTTATTTATGTGACTGTGTTTTATTCTTTATTTTCTATCTTGGTTTTTTGGTCTTGGTGCTTGGTTGTCTTGTTTTTCTCTCTAGCCTGAGGTTGGTTAAGGCTGTGGGAAAGATCAGTTCCCATTCCTGCCTGTCTTCCTGGATTCTAGGAGTACTCACTGAGCATTGGGGATGAGAGGTCTTGGAGGAGAAGGAAATGTACAGAAATTATGGAGAAAGTTGGTAGTAGTCACCTTATGGCCTCTCCTCTCTTCAGCTAATTGGTGTCTTCTCACTCTTAGGCAATGCTCTTACTTCGTGCAGAACATAGGGTTCACCAGAAATGCCCAGGCTCATCTTCTGACCACAGGTCACACATCTGCCTTTCTCTCTCACTTTCATCAGATGTGGATGGAGGGTGTTCCCTCCACCTCACATCAAAGGCCAATCTCTGTCTTTGCTTAGAATCCTATCCCAGTCCTCACTCTCAATTTCCTCCTCTGGTTTGTGTCTCCTTCACCTGAATTTCTAGCCTGACCTCTCTGTTGGATGTTAATATTCCTCCCCTCCCTCCCATGTGAAAACGAAGCCTAGCTCTTCTCAACTCTTCATTTCCCACATTACCTTCTGATTCCTTCTGTTGCCAAGCTTCCTGAAGGATTTGTCTATGCAGGTTAACTCCACTTCTTTAGTGGATAGGTTACTTCCTATTCCTTCTTGGCTGCATTAAGTTTTATTTTATCAAAATAATAAATGCTTGTGGTTTGCAAGGTCAACTAGCATTTGAGATCTCATGCCCCCCAATAGTAGTCCCCCCTCCTACTATCCTCATCCCTCTTCCCCCAGGCAACTATTTTAGATTTCTAACTACTTCTTCTAACATCTCTGCATTTCTAAGTAGGATGTGTTCACTGCTACCTTAAGATCACAATTATAGGGATTACCTATTGACTTTAGTACTTTTCACCACCATCTTTCCTTTCAATGTGGTCATAAATTTTAGTTAGATCAGTATTCGGTGGTTATATTATTACTTCTAGGTAAACATTATCACATATGAGTGTTATAGTTTGCTATCAAGTTTTCTGATTTTTTTATTTCTCTTTTATGATTCCTTATTTTACTTCTCTGGGGGACTTGCTGCTAGTTTTTCTTCCTCCTGCTAGTCTCTCTGTAGGCTCTTTCAGAAGGCTCCTAGCATCAGCTAAACTGCTAAGTCTTTATTCTTGATGTTTTGGAGACATTCTTCCTTGAGAAACCTGTTTCTCTTTCTGCCAGGGCTATTGGGGATTCTCAGTTCTCTGGCCAGAGAATTCGATTCCTGTTTTATGGAGTTCCCACCTTCTTCCCTTTTCATTTTGATGAAGCAGATCCTGAAGTAGTTTCACCAGCTTAAAGAAATGGCGCAACGGCTGACGGTGTGTTGGTGACAATGATCCAGTTCTTTTGTCATCTAGTCAAACTTCTCCAGCCTGGACTGGGGCCAAGTTGTAGAGAGGACTAAGGGTTTCAGGGAGGGACATGGAGAATCTGGTGGGTTTTCTTTCTCCTGGAGACAGAATGGTTCATGCATTCAGCTCCTCCCTTGTTTCTTAACTTTAGTGTTGAGAGGAATGAGGTCAAGTTTCTCCCTGATGAGCAGTTGCTCATGCCACTGACAGATGTTTCTGCCTCACAAAGCCTTAGCAAGGTCCTTCATCTCTTCTAGCTCCACATGCACTAGGCCTGTTAGGTATCAAAGGGTAGGTGCTGGGGTGGTCACACCTGTATTAAATACGAATACCACCAGTGGATTAGTAGGTTTTGGCCAAGAAGACCCAGGCTTGGCCTGTAGAGCTGTCTGTTTACTATCAAGGGTCTGTTCCAATTCTCCTCAGCACCTTGTTTGTTGGGCTTCTGTCCAGGGAGCTGAGTCATCCCTGTTTCACCTCCAGCTCCCCAAGTCTGAGCTGAGGTAAACAGGCTGGTCTGGAATCTTCTTGGCACGTTCTGGTGTTGCCTTCTCTTCTTTCCTGGATTAGCTTTGCTGATATTAGAGCTTTGTAGAGGACCCCTGAGTCTTCTCATGCAGGCCGAGGCTTTGTGGTAAGTAGTTTCTGCTCTCCCAGACTGGCCTATGACCTGTAGCCCATGTCCCTTGTATCTTAACATATTCCTAACATTTTCTGTCTCCTATTGATAATGTAGTCAGAAAGCTGATATTTGAATCTCAGTAGCCCTCACTGTTCCCAGATACTCTTGTGAGCATTCTCTGACATCATACCATGAGGTGGATTTCCCCGTTAGCCTTAGATAACAGGTATAATTCTGGATTCTAAAAGCTTTTTTGTTAATTGTTGCTTTCTCTTCTTTCAAAGACCTCTGCCCTGCCTACATTTTAGTTCCATATTTTAAACATTCCTAAAAATCCTACTCTTCTTTCCCTGATACTTGAGAATCTATAAGTCTTTCTAGTTTCTAGTAGTATTTAGCCTAAATTCTGTTTCTGGGTCTGCCTTCCATGTCTTTTGAGTTCCTCTGTCTCCTACTCAGTCCTAGACCACAGTGTAAATCCTGTCTCTTTGCTCAAAGGTTTACCTCTGGAAAACTCTGAAAGATCATTTCTCTCTGACTGCCAAATTTCTCCTCTGGAGTAATACCTGGGACAATTTCTGTGATAATCAAAAAGGATAATACATGTAAATTATTTGGCACAAATTAGGCACACAATAGTGCCCATTCCTCTTCTTATTATTTAGACTTGTCCCCTCGTCTGAATTGGAAGACCTCCAGCTTTGGACCCTGTGAGTGACCAAGTCCAGGAGGCTGATGTGTGAGGGCTGGTGGAATGATGGGTGGACACTCCTTACCTTCTTGCTGCCCCTCAGCCGTCCCAGCAAATGTGCACCATTTGAACATTCACACGGTCAGGAATAGGTTGACTTTTAAAACTTAAAAAATCTAAAAATCACTTTTTTTCTGAACCCATCTGTTCAAGGACCCACACAAGGCCTAATACAGAGTACATGTGAGAGAGAGGCAGGAGAGAGGCAGAGGCGGCGACTGGAAGAAAGGAGGGGAGAGGGAGAGACACAGGAGAAACATCTCCGCACACCTACCTGCCTTCCAGTAGACACGATCACACATACTGTCTGACCTAGAGGCAGGGGAGTAGATGGATTCCTCCTTCTAGCTCACTCACTCCCCTTTCTTGGAAATTTGCATGTATCACCTCTCTTCCGCGACTCTGCTGCACAGCTTGCCAAGCGCACAGGAAGTGAGGCCGTGAGGGGCCTTCAGGTGCTCTCCTCCAGTGGTGGACCTCTCCTCTCCACACCTTCTCCAGGTCGCTGGTCTGAACTTGACCTTCACCTCCCATCACCATGGCCTCAGCCCTGGCCCGCAACCCTCGGGAGGCATTGCTTTGGGCCTTGAGTGACCTTGAGGAGGACAATTTCAAGATATTAAAGTTCCACTTGCGGGATGTGACCCTGGCTGAGGGCCAGCCCCTCTTGGCCCGAGGGGAATTGGAGGGCCTGAGTCGGGTAGACCTGGCATCGCGACTGATTTTAAAGTGTGGAGAACAGGAGGCTGTGAGAGTGGTGCTCAAGGGCTTGAAGGCCATGAACTTGTTGGAACTCGTAGACCAGCTCAGCCACATTTGTCTGAATGGTGAGTGTGGTGGGGGAAAGGGAGGTCATGTGGTGCCGGAACTGCCCCTCCAGGGTACTTCCACAGACTCCCGTAGTCTGTAATTCATGCCTCCTTTCACCCTGCCCTCCGTCCTTGGGAATCCCCTGTGCCCCAGGGTCCCAGGTGGTCACCAGCTGAGGGCTCCCACAAATGCTGGGTGAAGCTCCTGAGTGGACATCAGGGATTTGTTTATTTGTCATATCTTATGACCATGATACCCTACCTCTTACCTCCCGTCGCTGTGCCAGAAAAGGAGAGGGAGTGAAGAAAGGGGCTTAGATGGGAGAGGCAGTGTTGGTGAAGGTTTTTCTACTAAGCAGAACAAATGACGTAGGTGTGGGGTCAGACCTGGGGTCAGAGGGCTAGGCTGCTCCTCACAGAGGACAGTTTTCTGTGCCCCTCTGTTCAAGAAGCTGGTGGACTGATGCCACCCCCGGAGAGTGAGGTGGGCATGTAGCCTAAATAGCGGCTTGTTCCTGATGGTGGGGTGCTAGGGGGAGGGAAGGATCGTTGGTACCTGTGTTCTCTCCCATAGGCTCCCTTCACTGCTGAGAACTCCTCTACTTTATAGAAATGGGAGGGAAGGGGGACCCAAAGTCGTGGCTCCATCTCAGAAACTGTTTTGCATTTAGCATCCGGTCCATTCTCCACTAAAATCATGCTCCGATTACTTTACCAACGGCAAGTTCCCTTCCCTTTCCTCTCTTTGCCCTCACCTCTTCCCATGGGGACATTTGCCATGAACGCTCACACATGCATGCGTGCATGCGCGCGCACACACACACATACACACACACTGTCACACAGACTTTTGGAGGTACATTATTGCTGATGCACATTGACATGACTTCCCTGCACAATACAGAAGCTTCCATCGGCACATTCCCATGAACACATGTGGAAACAGGCGTGCACTCAGACCCCACAAATGTTCACCCACAGAACACACTCAGATATGTACACACACACACACACACACATGCATACATACACGTACAGTAGTCCATCTCCTGTGAAACCAGAACTCTTGTCTTCCTGAAGAGCTGAGTTAGAGTTTAAAGGGTCCATTTCCCCTTTTTAGTTTCTGTTTCCTCATCTGGAACCTCTCTTGTCTGACTCAGATTACAGAGAAATATACCGAGAGCACGTGCGTGGCCTAGAGGAGAGCCAAGAGTGGGGAGTCAACTGTAGCTACAACCAACTGCTCCTGGTGGCCACACCCAGCTCAGGGGACCCAGGATCACCTCCCGGCCCAGACCTGGAGCAAGAGCTGGATTCTGTTACAGTGGAGGCTTTATTTGATCCGGGGGGGGGGGGAAGCCCTCCCCTGCCCCATCCTTAGTGGTGCTACAAGGCTCTGCTGGTACTGGAAAGACAACCCTGGTGAGAAAAATGGTGCTGGACTGGGCCACTGGTACCCTGTACCCAGGCCGGTTTGATTATGTTTTTTATGTGAGCTGCAGAGAAGTGGTCCTGCTGAAGGGGTGCAAACTGGAGCAGCTCCTCTCCTGGTGTTGTGGGGATAACCAAGCCCCTGTCACAGAGATTTTGAAACAGCCAGAGCGGCTCCTGTTCATCCTGGATGGCTTTGATGAGCTACAGAGGCCCTCTGGACAGCTGGGGAAGAGGGTGGGGAGTCCCATGGAGAATGTGCTGCGCCTTTTGATTAGGAGACGGTTGTTGCCCACATGCTCCCTTCTCGTTACCACTCGGCCCCCTGCTTTGGGGAGTCTGGAGCCCATGCTGGGTCAACGGCGCCATGTTCATGTTTTAGGTTTCTCTGAGGAGGAGAGGAGGCAGTATTTCAGCTTCTATTTTAAGGATGAAGAGCAAGCCAGACATGCCTTTGAATTTGTACAAGGAAATGATGACACAGCGTGTCAGGTTCCAGGCATCTGCTGGGTGGTCTGCTCCTGGCTGAAGGAGCAGATGGAAAGAGGCCAGGCAATCTCAGAGACACCCAGGAACAGCACTGACATCTTCACTGCCTACGTATCCACCTTCTTGCCCGCTGATGACAGTGGGGGCTGCTCTGAGCTTACCAGGCACAGGGTCCTGAGGGGTCTGTGCTCCTTGGCCACTGAGGGGATCGAGCATCAGAGGTTCCTATTTAAAGAGGATGAGCTCAGGAAGCACAATTTAGCCGGCTCCAGACTTGTTGCTTTCCTGAGCAGCAGCAATTACCAAGAGGAACTTGACATCAAGAAGTACTACAGCTTCCGCCACATTAGTTTCCAGGAATTTTTTCATGCAATGTCCTATCTGGTAAAGGAAGGCCAGAGTCAACTGGGGGAAGCATCCTCCAGAGAAGTGAAAAGACTGGTGGAAGCAAAGGAGCAGAAAAAGAATGAAGAGATGACCCTCAGTACGCAGTTTTTATTGGACACATTGAAAAAAGAGAGCTTCTTGACCTTGGAGCTTAAGTTCTGCTTTGAAGTTTCTCCCTCGATTTTGCAGGATCTTATGCATTTTAAAGAACAAATGGAATCTATAAAGCACAAGAGGAGTTGGGAATTTGAATTCTCCCTGTATAATACGAAAATAAAGAATCTTAAAAAAGTTGTTCAGTTGAATGACATCCAAGTCAAGTTGTCACATTCTAATGAAAGGAAATTACCTACCGGGAAGCTGTTTTCTGTCAAAACCAGATTGGATAAAGGACAGAAAGTGGAACAAAAATGCAATCCTGAGGGTGAATGCAGAGGGACAGAGGAAATAGACTCAGAAGTTAGGAGCAGCAGGATAGAAAGCAGGAAAAAGGGGGCAGTGGAGATGAAGGGTCAGAAGGATCATGGGATGGAGAAATAGGAGGATGGGGAAGGGCAGAGTGAAAAGATGGAGAAATGAGAGATGAGACTAAGGGGTAGCAGAAAGAGTGAAGGACAGAGAAACAAATAGAGAATTAGATTGCTGAGGGTCTGAAGGCTTGGCATAGCATCTGGGAAGAGGCCATGTGGACTGAGTCCTTAGGAACAATTGAGTCCTTAGGAACAATCACCTTTTACCATGGATAGCTGATTAGCACCCCTCCCTCAAGGGGCTGTTTATGACCTTCTATAGTGTGGAGTTCTCCTTCAGTAGCTCTCTTATATGTTAATGCCAGTGACCAAGGCTTTGATTCTGCATCTGATTCTTTTTAAAAATAAAATAAGCTACTTAAATAATAAAGTGTGAATTGTGTGCATTCTGTAAGACATGGGCAAATTTGGAGCATATCTGTGTCTGCACTTTAAGGGAAATATACTGTGGCATAATGGGATGTCTCTCTGGCTCTGTATTTGTGGTCAACTCCTGCTTAAGTAAAGAGCAGCCTTCTTGTTCTTTTTATAAACTTTGAAAATTTACATTTGTTGAACATGAGCCACTGCTTTTCACAGACCTCAACTTTGATCTTGGAAGCTCTACTGTGACTTAATTTAATACCAATAACATGTCACTGTCATCTGCTGCTGTGTCATTACTGACTTTTCTTTTTGGAAAGATTCATCTGTTCCATGAATTGACTAATAGTATCTTTTTCTGATTTGGGTTCCTCTGTATAAGAAAAGAAGGAGTAAGAGATTCTAGGTGGAGGTATGATCAACACCCCATGCTCATTTCATGGATAAGGAAACTAAGGTACAGTCAAGAGCTCCATTCATTTCTAGCATTCCCCAGAGAGATCTATTGGTTCCCACACCTCAGCTAATAGTGTTCTCAGAAGATCAACCTCTGAATGTCCCTGAATGTCTTGGAGAAGTTGGGAGTAATAAAACAGTGTTCAACTGCATCCTGAGCTTTTCTTGGTCTCAGAGAGGTCTCAAAGTCTCTGTGCAGGCACCAGTCCTATCCCCATCCTGGTGTTTGTTGCTGACCCCAGTGTGGCTGTGATGGGTCCCCCCATGCCCTACAGTGAGGCTACAGATGCTCCTCTTTTTTCTTTTATCACATTTTTATTGCTGTCAGGGCTTCCCACATGTGATTCCACATGTTTCGACTCCAGCAATCTGTCAGACATGCCCAGACATCTGACTCCAAGGGAACTCAGTGGTCAATTAATTTGAGACCCTACGACACTAATTATTACTATTTATTCTTCACACAGGAAATTTGGTGGCCTGACATTTGATAATTATATAATGACACATTGAATACATGGATCACGTGTAGATATAAAACATGTCTTATAAAACAGTGTGTGTGTGTGTTTGCATATACTTATTTAGAGAGCAGTTTGTTTTGGATTTCCAAAGCAGCAGATCAGCACCCATTGACCTAGGCTGTGTGGCCTTATAAAGGACTCAGATGTTCTCAGAAGATCAACCTCTGAATGTCCCTGAATGTCTTGGAGAAGTTGGGAGTAATAAAACAGTGCTCAACTACATCCTGAGCTTTTCTTGGAGCCAAGGGGGGCTTTTTTTTTTTTTAAAGAAACATGAATCTAACATCTAATTGGGGATTAGACATGTTGCAGTATTTCACTTAAGATTCATATTCATTTAAAATTAAAAATCAAATGACCCCAAACTTTCACTAAAAACAAACAAACAGGGCTGGGGTTGTTATTCAGTGGTAGAGCGCTTGCCTAGCATGTATGAAGCCCTGGGTTTGATCCTCAGCACTACATAAAAATAAATAAACAAAATAAAGGGATTGTGTTTATCTACAACTAAAAAAAATTTTAAACAAACAGCCATCTGATTTCTGGTTTGGGGTGTGACTGGCTGGTTCTTATAACAATGTCATCAGGGCTTACACTGTTTTGCCAGATTCGTGGGACCCCAATAGACCTCCAGGAGCCGAATCCCATGCAATCGCACAAGAGTCTTTATTGCAAGCTCGAGCCTGGACTCACAACTGTTCCCAACGCAGCGGTCCCAGGGAGTGAGTCCTGGTCCTTTGTTCAGTGAGATTTTATAGGTTTTGGGGGGGATACTCTATGCGTCACAACATCACACAGCAAATCATTCCATACTGTGGGAAAATCAAATAACAACTCTTAACATTGATTAGCACATTCAATGGCGGGAACAAATTGGGTAGGGGTGATTGGTTAGTACAATAGGGGGATTCGTTGGAACTGATTGGTTTAGGCCACGAGGGGTGTATGTGCTAAACTACATGGTTTCCCAACATGTTATCAACCACCATAAACTACTTGGGGGTCATCTGGCATTCCAGGTATTTTCCCTGTCTCATGCTGATTGGAGGCTGCTAGGCGGGTTGCTATGGGTCCTCACCTAGCCTAACTGAGTCAGGGACATCTGGCGCCTCAGACCTCTCCTGTTATTTACAGATAAACAGCTCAGCAGGGTGGGTATGTGCTTAGGAGTGCTCTGTGGGTTTTTCCAAGGACAAGGGTCACGCCCCCTTCCTTAGGACAGGCGTTGAGGTAGAAGCTGCTGTTATTTATTTATTTTTAAAAATGGAGTCACATTAGTTTCTCAACACTAGTCTCTCTGCTGTTGCTTTTATAGTTGCATTTAATCCTCATTCCAGACAGCCACTTTTATGCATCAGAGAAAATGGCATCTGAGCTCAGTTTAAACCATCCTTACAGCCAACAATTCCAAAGGAAGAGAATAGTCTTTACAATGGCTCTAGCAGGGAAGTTAGGGGAGGAGTCTGACCTGCCCCTGGGTAGGAGCCAAGCCTCAAACATTGTGGCCTGGAAGATGCACTTCCCTGACCAGCAAGAACTGGATCTCCTAGCTCAGGTTGCATGCATATCCTCTGGATAAATGGCCATAATCTGAGGGCTGAATGAGAAAGGATGGCTTATCAAAGGAAGGCATTCTGGGCAGTCAAAATACATGTCACATAGATACAAGTGTGGAAGGGATTGGGGTTCCCTGAGGTCTAGGCTGGGCAGAAGGGGTAAGAAGGATTCCTATGTATAGAAGTCTGGAAAATGGGTCAAACCAGGCTACTGAATGTGGTGGTAAAAAGGAGTAGTGATTCCTGGTGCAGAGAGGCTGGGCCCATCCATTCCTTGCTTAGACTCCCTTTGGGTGGTAGGGAGAAAGGTGGCCATGATCAAAAGGAAGAAACTCTGTCCTTAGGGAACAACTGTGGGACTCTCTTATGAAAAAATGGGATTCCAGAGTGAAAGAAGGTTTCCAAATGAAATATAATTAAATTTGAATTTCAGAGAAACAGTGAAAAAAACATATATATTTTAACAGGGGCATACTTAACAATAAAAATGATTTGTTGTTTATCTAGCTTTCAAAATCAAATGTATCTAGGCATCCTGTATTTCTATTTGCTCCATCTGGCAATCCCTAAGTGGAGGAGATTTAGTAGTAGAGTAGGCAGCAACTATGAGCCAGAGGAGTAAGACATCCATGGTTAGTCAGCTTTATGTTGCTGTGATCAAAATACCTGGCAGGGACAATTTAGAGAAGAAAAAAATCATTTTGGCTTATGGCTTCAGAGATTTAGTCTGTGGTGGGCTGACTCCATTGCTCTAGGCTCAGAGTGAGGTAGCACAGCATGGGGGAAGGATGTGGAGGAAGGAAGTTGCTCAGGACCTGGTGGCCAGAAGAGGGAGCAGAGAAGATGAACCTTTCCAAGGGCATGCCCCTAGTGACCCACCTCATTCCTCTATGTTTCACCTGCCTATAGTGACCATCCAGTAAGACCATTGAAACTAGGATGAAGGGATTAGGTTACAGGTCTCATCATCTAATCATTTTACCTCTGAATGTTTCTTCATTGACACAAGAGATTTGTAGGGACACCTCATATCTAAATCACACATGGTTCTTATTGTTCCCGAGAGCTTTTACCTCTCTATTCCCTGAAGGATGGAAAACAACAACCCCCAGGGAGAAAGGGAACAACAATCTCCAGGGAGAAAGGGGAACAACAACCCAAGAGAGAAAGAAGGACAATGGGTCTGGGGCAGTGGGGACAGGAGAAGGCAAACAATGGGCTCTGGACTTTCACCATTTCCCAGCAACAATGAGCTTTGAACTTTCACAACTGCTTCCCCTGACTGCCCAACTGATGCATTCTGCTATGATTCAAGTCTCCCTTAAACCCTATAAAAATCAGACCCCTCTTGTAACCAGTTGACATTTTCTCTCCTGAAAATGTGCCCCTCCAGGAGTTAATAAAGCATCAACGGTCCATCGAGGTCTGTCCCTGTGTCAGTTATTTTTGCTATCATTATAGTGTTGAAACCGGGTATGGGAGTAAGGGACCTTTATCCCTTCCTGTCCTAAGGAACCTCTTCCCTAACAGTCATGTTAAATGCCTGATGAGACCTGAGAAATAACCAGTGATCATCCAGCACTCCTATGATACTCTTAGTTTGGGGAAGCTCCTAGCCACTGCTTGGGCAGCTATGGCTGAATTCCCAGAATGACCACCTCTCTCTTCCCCCCAGCTTTTATAGGAGACCCTTCACACTCTCTGCAGTCCACTTTGACTAAACAGTGGCTGGCACATGACCTGAAACTGACCCCATTTTTGGGCTATGTTTTTACTGCCTTATTGCTATGTGAAGGGAGCAAGGATCTGTATTGGGTCCTTTATTGGATTTGGAGACATCCTCCTTCTAATCCTCTCCTTTCCAGTTCCCCCTGTACTTAGACCTCTTCCTTGCACTTAAAACCTCTGGATCAGATACTGCTTTTTGCCATTTTGTTTCTGCAGGCAACACCAGCCTTCCTATTCTTCAGAGAAGTAAGATCTCTTGCAGGCTCTCAAAGAGGCATCCTGCCTAAGACCTCTGCCTTTGGCTTGTCTGGACACAGGGGTCCCCGTACCACAGAGATTGTATCAGGGGACGCCTTCTCATTCTTTGGTGGAACTGCTCCAGTGATGATAGACTTCAAAGGATGCTTTGATCTCAACTGCCACCCTGATTAAATTTCTCCATCCTGGGAGCCCCCATTCCATGGGACTCCCCCTTAGGTTATTTCATAAATTATTTTAAGAACCTCTGCTTCATTAACTTTAGTACTTAGATCAGGCCACAGTATAAATTAGACCCCTAATTCCATAGTCCAAATTCAGAATTTGGGAACTTTGATCCAAAAATTTTCCAAAATTTAGACAATTTTCTCCACTGAAATGACAAATGGTCTGAGGTTTCCTACCTCCAAGCTTTCCCTTACCTTCACTCACAGTGCTCATTAAGCCATCCCTGCTCTGCTCTACAA